AAACCCCCCCCCCCCCCCCCCCCTAATAAGGAAACCTCGGTCGCATTTTTTTTAATAGGGGGTCCCTGAAATCGGGGTGTCCAAAATAGGGTCACCTGGAAAGAGTTTCAAAACCAAAAAGTAATCCAGGAAAATTTTATATAAAATCCTTTATTAAACTCATATCAAAAATGCAAAAAACCGCCAGATCGAAGGGTCTTCCTTTTCCCCTACAAAAACCTTCATTAGAATAGTGATTCTTCAGTAGACTAACAGCTAAAGCTTTCGAAAGGTGATGTCGCTGTGCCATGCGGTGTTGCGTGACCTCGGTGGCAAGTGCGTTTGCGTGAGTCCGTGCCATTGAGGGAAGGAAAGCCTGCTGGTGTAAGCGCGGCGTGTCATGGTGGAGTTTTGGGGAACCTAATAAAAAAAAACTACCCCCAAAATCGACCATGTTGGTAGTTTAGTAGCGGTTTGAAAGGGCGGCAATTTAAAACCAAATATAAACCAAATTTAGGGGATCCGGCATGACTTTTTTTTAATTGGGGTCCGTTTTTTAATAGGTACTCGGGATTAATCATCGCGAAGCAGCAAATACCAATAAATAACCTAATTGCTTGAAATCTGCCTGACCGAGCACCTTACAACCAAGACCTCCATATTGATTCTGCTGGTGTTCTTCGTTCTTCCCTGAGATGATGCTTATGATGTCATGAGCATGTTTCTGGATCAGGGCTCAAAACATGGCATCTTCTGCATTACAAACTCACCAAAGATGGTCTGCACTGAATAGGCAAAAGAAACACTCTCAGTTTTGCTCGCAGAACATTCACTTCTGCCTATAGCCTGCGTGAAATCTCGCGCACCTAGTCAGTCAAAAGCTTTCCCATCACCTTTCTTCCGTGGGTTTCCCAATCTTGCTTCAAAGCATCTTCAAACTGACGAGATCTTAGTTCATCCATCCTCCCAGATTGCCGGGGGCTCGTGACATACGGTTCGTATTCAGGTCTGGGACATAGCATGAAATAAGCACTAGAGGGTTTGGTGTAAATGAAGCCCATTGCTTTGGTGCTTCTATTTCAAACACCCCCTGCCCCCCTGCTGTGGATGAAAAACACTCCTGCAGCGCCTCAGATGAAAATTTGAACCCTGCTGAATCTGCAGTGATCGTGCATGTCCACCGTCTTGAAGACACGATCAGGTGTCTAGGCTTGTCAACCACGTCAATTTAGATGCTCTTTTCTACCCTGTGAAGCCCTGTGAGAGCTTGTTTGATGTTGTTTGTGCATGTTTGCTTCTTGAACACACCACTTCCACCCCAGAAAAAGCAGGTCTCCATGCATCCACACAGGACTGAGCCCAGCCCCTGACCTGACAGAAGTTGCTGAAGAGCCGCATGGCCTGTGACGAACAAGAGAAACAACATAATTTTTGGTCCAAGGGAAGCGAGCTGCAAAAAGTGTGATTTCCAAAGGGTTTTTGCAAGAATCTGAGTACTCTACCAACAGGCGTCCTCTACACCATTGTCCATTGCTCATTTGGTTGTTTTTGAACGTCTATGAGCCCAAGTGCCCCACTAAGGGCACATCAGGATTGTATTCACGATAGAGTTGAAACATGATCACCTGCAGCTTTAGACACGTTTCCTTGTGATGTTCCATGCCCAACCCTCCGCCTCCACCCTTGTGTTCTCCAAAAGGTGGCAAAGGTTTGCAACATTTCGAACGTTTTTGGCAAAGACTCTTTGCTCAAAACATCTCTGGGGTGAGTGGATCATGGTCACCCCCCGTATCCATACCGAACCTCCTCCTTCATGAAACACCTTTAAGACGTGGAACTGCAAGGGGGTTCCAACATCTCGTCTTTCACCCACCGAACTCTGAAAACCGAATTGACTGGGTGCCCCACAAACAGCGACCAGCGACCGTCGCTGGAGAGTTCCTGTGACATCCTGTGACCTGGTGTTCTCTATGACTGTGAGCAGTCAACAAATTCTTCGTATTTCTTTATGGATTTCTGCGGATTTGAAGAGGGGAACCACTTCTTGCCACCCACCCAGCCCCCCTTCCTGCACCCCGCAACCTCCCATAACACCATATATCATATAACACCATAACACGTTCCGGGACTCCGCGCGTGGTGTTTGATGACCACGTTAGGATGGGAGGCCCACAAGCGCAGCCAGATCGGTGTGAAGACGTCCATCTGACCCAACCTCTGGCGCTCACTGACGTGCCGACGCGCTGGCGCGGGCGGCGATGGGGCGAGCGGCAGCTCTCCGCGAGCGACCTCCGCGGTGTCTGAAGAGATCCAAAGGATACTGATGGAGCCCTATAAGGCTCTAGGAGGTGACCTCCTCAGGCTCGGCTCTGACTAGACCTCGCACCCACCTCCACCCCAGGGAGGTCTACAGGGTTTGGATGAAGAGGTCTTGCCAGTCTTGACCGAGAAGGTACGCCCAAAACGATCAAAACATGACCCGGGTCCAGAAACTGAAGCGCAAGGAGTCATACCACGAGCAAATGTAAATTGCTGAGTTTGTTGGAAAAAGGGGTCTTCAAGAAAGGAAACGTCAGTCTCAACATCCCCGAACCAAAATGTAAAATGTGTGTCCATTCCGTGTCATCTGTGAGGTATTCTCATGACGTTACAGCATGGGGAAGAGCTGAGTTAGAGGAACCAATTCTCAACCCCAAAGTATCGTGCACGCAAGGTGTCAATATCTAAGTCTCGGACAGCCACCTTAGTTCTAAAATGTTCTAAACAGTCTGTAAGGAACTACCAGGTCCACAGAGTACCAATTGAGTACTCTCAGTGGCCCCAGTTCGGTGCGGAAGACACGCTCCACCCCGCCGTCTTCACCTCCCCCCTTCTTACCGCCCAATGACCATCTCCCTGGCGATCGGCCCCACTCACTTCCAGCTTTGGCCTCCGGACCCCAAATTCTCAAGGCACCAGTCCAAGGTCTCACACGAGAGCATGGCCATGTAGAGCGTGCTCTGCCTGGCAAACGCGGTGAAGCGCGCACCCGAGTGGAGCGGAGCTCGGTGAGAGAGAGCCAGCCTCTGTCACCTTCGGTTCAGCCACCGACTGGGCCATTACTGTAAAGAGAATGCAATGAAAGAGGTAGTGAACATAAATGACATAGACAAGATAATAATGGGATCCTCACTGAAACCAACTCGCTTCACACTGACACATGACCAGTATGTGTCATGCGACGTTCCAATGACATATTCAAAAAAAAAGAGACCGAACAAACCAAGTGCATCTGACGCAATATAATGGTTTCGCTCTATTTCCTTCTTCATGGCTTCTTCGTGCTCTGGGGGCCTACTGAGTCGTGGCAACTGGGATGCTCTTTCTGATCTAAGCAACCAGAATCTCATGGAATTGAACCCAAAAAGATTTGGTTGAAGCAACTGAATCTCATGCAACTGAATGGTTCAATGTTTGATCTCAGCAGAATGTCATGCAATTGAACTCCAAGAAACAACCAAATGGACTTGGCCAAGACACTCCATCACCAACTCCAACGACATGTTGGGCTTTAGCATCACATGTCGTTGCTCCGGCCCCGGCAACCACGGCGACCGTTTCAGGATCGAAACGGTCGCCGACCCGAGAATCGGTGTCCGGTGTTCGGTGACGAGTCGAAGCACAGGATGTCCCCCGAACGACGAGATCAACGGAAGTGATCTCTGGACCTTCTGGGCCAAGCACTGTTCCTTAGAGAGACTGAGAGACTGTGTATCTGTATATCTGTTCCACGCTTTTGTGATGAAAGGGGAGGAATCTTCAACACATGGAGGAGTGCCTCAATGTTTCTGCCCCAACACAGGCAAGCAAAGCCTGTCACAACATTCCAGTGCCTCTCGAGCAAGGTGACAGTGGACAGCTCAGCGATACTGCCCTGACGAAAGAGCAAACATGGATGACAACATGTCAACGTGTTGCTACCAATGCTACACAAAGACCTTTACGAGTTGTACTACTAGTTGTTGTCAACCCCCCCCCTCCGCCTGCCAAAAAAAAGACACTCTGACGAACACATCACATGGAAGTGGTTGGCATGACACCAAACAGGAAGACAACGACGACGTTCCTTCTTCCAAACAGGAGGTGAACTCCACTTCCATGTTTTCGGTGTTCGTCGGAGTGTAAAACAGCAACTCCTTAAGCTGGGTGGGAAGACTCCCAAAGCTGGGTTCTCGCAAGCATTGGGTCTGTGACTGCGCATGTCGTTGTCTCGTGGCTGATGCAAACAACACCTTAAGACGGCACACCACCAGAACACGTATCTATAAACTCGATCCCAGTAAAAGTTGTTTGAAGCCTGCAACGGCGTAAAGCCATTCTATCAACGGGCGGTTGAAGAGTGCGAGAAAGCAACCTGAATTCGGGGTAATAACATTAAAAATACAGTAACATCTGGTCGGCAGAGGAGTAGTGAAATCGGAATTGGACTGTCAGGAGTTTCCGCTGCCCCAGGAACCACAAATGTTGCGCTTAGGTCGTTGATGAAAAATATTTGTTCAGTGGTAGACGACGTCGACGACAAGAGGAAAAGGATGATGAGGAGAATGGTGATGGTGATGGTGATGGTGATGGTGCCGCCGCCGCCGCCGCCGCCGATGAGGATGATGATGATGATGATGATGATGATGATGATGATGATGATGATGA